TCCTCAAGGCCTGGTGGGCCAGGATGTGCTCCACTCTCTCCTCCCCTGTCATCTGCTCCTGTGTGCTCCGATCAGACGTGCCCCTCTCCCAGAGCTGCAGATTCAATGCCGTCCTTTGAAATAAATTTTTCTGGGGGGAGGGGCAGGTGTCCACATAGTAGTTGGGATTGGGGCCGGCCCAGGAGAAATAATTTTTGTAATAGCTGCATTTCTCTGAACATCCAGACTTTGCTATCAATGGATAAGCACGGTAAACACCAGGGCTAGTTCTCTTGAAAGGGAAGAAACTGATACATCATTGTGTACTCATAGAGGTGTCAGTTTCCATTAGAAACAATCCAAAGATTACAAATAAAGTGCCCCTCCAACTACCAAGCTCTCCTTTCCCCCCAATAAGCACAGCCCTCAGTTTGGGGTCTTTTTCTACACTTGATCATAGCCAAAAGGCCAAGAAGCGATTTGGGGTATTTTTCCTATAGACCATATATATGATTTTATACACACACACACACACATCATATATATCAAGACATAAGTTTTTTCCTTTTAATGTAAAAAGTGCCTTCATATATATATTGCTCTGCAAATGACCCTTTTCCTTTTTGGAGATTGGCGTGTTGGCGTAGACACATCTACAGCCTTCGTCTTACCTGCTGCCTCGTGGGCTTCGTGCCATCAGGGACTGCTACTTATTTCATCAGCCTCCTGGGGTCTACCCTGAGGCCGCTGCTGCTGGGCTGTCGCTGTCTTTGTCAGTATACCCTCCTCGTGCCTTTTTGTGGGGGCATCTCCCTAGAGTGGATGTGAGGAAGTAGAAGTGCTGCGTCACAAGGGATGTGCATTTTTCATTTAATGTGATTTTAACATAAACCTCCACCAGCTGTTTATGAACAATCCTTTTCTGCACCCTGGAGGAACTTCATAAAAATAAAAATTCCCAGGGCCCTCATCTTTGGAAATTGTGACTTAATGGCTTTGTAAAAAAAAGCAAGCTCCTACCCTTGCAGGGAGAGTGTTTTGTTAAATATGAACTAGCGCCCAGGGCTCTGCGTGTTTACAAAGCACCGCACATGCTTCTGTTGTCAGCTAAAGAGTGGTATTTAGGGCTGCTGACCCGGATAGCTGTGCTTGATGGCATCCTGCAAGAGTGACCAGTGCATGCGCAAATGCTCACCTGACATTGACCTCGTTGTTCTGGCAAGTACGTGTACTGCCAAGAAAGTTGCATGTCACGTCATGTCTGTCTAATATTTTCTCAAGGTACAAAGTATGAATTTGTGGAGACCCTGAAGCTGGTGTAAACAGGCCTCTGTATATTTCTTATCTGTGCCCCACGTCCCTGCTTTCCTGCCGACCTCAGGGCAGTGGTCACTTTAGTATTTGCATAGGAGTGCTGGAGGACAGAGCCGACTTTGTCCCTTTGGTTTAACGTGATAGTTACCTCACTGGGGCACGAGCCTATCAACTTGATTTTGGTGAAGAGCCTCAAATACAGTAGACGCAAAGGTGTGGCTTGTGAAAACGATGTCTGTCCACGTTGTGTGACTGTCTCTACCTGCAGTATTTGTATTTCTCATCTGACGAGTCTGGAGAAGAGGCCAGTTAGAGGGAGGCCTGCTGGGTGTGTGTGTGTGATCTTAATGGATTGTTTTGTGGGAAGTGATTTGATAGGCAGCCCGTCGCTGTAGGTAGGCTGTCTGTAGGTGGGTTATATTTGCCTGGGTAAGTGTGGAAGACAGCCCATATCGTGAACATTTTGATGACTTACGATTTTAGGGAAAAAGCAAGAGGAAACAGCACCTTACAATCGTAAGGGTCAGCGATAAGCCAGAGTGAAATGCAGCTGCGCACGTCAGATAAGCTTTCTAGTTCTCCACGGTTCTCAGGAGTCCCCAGGCACAGACACTAAGGCAGCTTGGAAAGGCCCACAGTCCCCTTTACTCACTTGACTGACAGGTCTGCCTTTTTAAGCATCTGAAGGTTTCATCCTGATTGATCCTCTTAGAACATAGCTTCCCAAGATCCTTTGGCCAACCACCCCTTATTCAGAAACCAAACCAAACCAATGACTCAGTGCCCTCTGGCAATGAAAAGCATTTGTAGATCCACAATCTAGGATAAAGTGTAGCTAGCGACCTGCTTTCCCACGTCCGTCCTCCTGCATCGTCCCCAACTCCTCCAGGAGATGGTACCGCCCACGTTGGGAAACCCTGCTCCAGAGGCTAGGCATGAGCAGCAGCGGACGTTTTATGGGCACGCAGTAAGGTCCAGTGTCAGGAAGGTATTTTTTCTACTGCTGATTGCACACGCGTGGAAAGAAACCCTCTAGGGCTCAGTCATTGCCTGGGAAACACTTGAGCACAAGCCAAGGGACCCTAAGTCAGGAATGCTGTAGACCTGAAGTTGGCAGACATTAGCAAGTTAACAAGGGCCAGAGGGCCACAGGGTCTCTGTTAGAACTGTTCAACCTTACCTTTGTGTCACAAAACCAGGGAATGATAATGTGTGAAGGAATAAGGATGAGCGAGTGCTAATACATCTTTATTTCTGACAACGGACAGGCTGGGCCATGTTTGGACCCCAGACTCTAGTTTGCCAACTCCAACCCTCATGTAAATAAGACGTAGAATTGGATTAGATGGGTGTTTTTGGCAGGCATGCTAAGAAGCCCAGCCTCTCCGCTCTCTGAGAAGTAACTCCCAATCTAGTTGAAAACTCTGTGGGGATGTCAGATCACCCAGGTCCTGCCCTGCTGTAGAAGTCTACAATACAATTGTTTGGTTAGTTGTCCTTTTGAGAGTTAAACATCCAACTCTCCAACATGGGGGAAGGAGGAATCTGGTTTCGCGGTCGTAAATGTACCACCTCAGTGTCCTGGTTTGAGTCTTAGTCTTGCCATCTCCCTCGTGGGTTTGTCTGTGCAGAGATGCCTCCACCCCCCTACCCCCCCATCTCGGCTTCCCAGCTGGCTCATGGAATCCTTTGTACCAGAAAGAGAAACTGAGATCGTATCCTTCTTGGGCTTCTTTTGTAGAAGATCTTTGGAACCAAAGAGTTTCTCCCTGAGAATGAGGTTTTGAAGTGGCTGGGTAGCCACATCTGCACCCACGTCTTCCTGAAGGAGTTGTGTGGGAATCTCATCTTTCTTTTATGCGGCTTCAACGAGAGAAATTTAAATATGGTAGGTATGTTTAGGTAAGAATTCCGGCAAACCTCCAGTGGTTTTATTTTATTTGTGAAAGTACCTCTGTTGGGTGAGGTGGGCAGCCACAACCTCGACTCGAAGGGATCCTTTAATGGTCATCAGCCCTGGCAAATGCTTAGAATACCATATGCTACTCTTTCAAGTGGGTGGTGGTCAACCTCCTACCTCATGCCGATATGGAAACTGATGAAAGAGGAGAGGGGCCACAATGTGATTCAGTGTTTATGTATATTTCCGTGATTTGCTTCTTTTAAAAAAGTATTGTGTTTTTTAATTTGCAATTCTCACACACACACACAGGGCTTTAAAAAGGTTTTGGAAAAATCCCATGATCTTTTACTTTAATGTTCTCATGAACTCTTTGAAGGCCCCTGTGTATCGAGGAGTCTATATGTTTATGTATCTCTATTTTGAATGCATTTATTTTGAATGCATTTAACTGCCAGGTCTAAGTTAACTGGCAGTTTTTAATGCTGCACTCCGAACCCAGATTTAAAAATTCTGGAGGGACGACTCTAGTGAAATGTTTACAAATAGTAGTAATTTTCCTGCAGCTGATAAAAGTAAGGTGGGATTGTTATGTGGATATGTGGCACTCCAGAGGAGCATGAAGAAGGTACACAGCAACCTGTGCTCTGAGGCCAGGCTGCCCTGTGGTCCTTCAGATGGTCTCGGCCCCAATCGCCTGTCAGGGAGATGCTGACTGTAGTTTTTGATGCTTCGAAGAGAACATTGTATTTGTGATGCATGCTGTCTTAACACTACTTTCATTCATACTTCACTCTTATGTATTTTACAGTCCAGAGTCGACGTGTACTCGGCACACTGTCCTGCCGGAACCTCTGTGCAGAACATGCTACACTGGATCCAGGTAGGCACTCCAGGGGCGCAGCCGGGACTTGTGCGCAGTGGTGCTGGGAAGGTCTGCGCTTCATTCCCTGACGCTTCTCTGCGCTCACTCACTGCCCTTGAAGCGACCCTGTAGGTCAGACAGTGGCAACTGCCCCTGTGGGGATGGGGGACTATTAACTCTTTGGGGGCAGTAGAAAGCCTTGTGTTTCTCACAAGGAGCAGCTGGTAGTTTTGAACTACTAACCTTGTGGTTAGCAATCCAGTGTGTAACTGCTACGCCATCAAGGCTCCTCCCTGCAAATCCTTTCTAAATATAAAGACAGTCCGCTTACCCATCCAAGCTGGGTTTTCTGCACGTCCCGGGCTCCTGTCGTTGCTGCTGGTGTTGCTGTTTTCCTCTGCAGGGCACACTGTACCCTGCGTCCAACCAGCTGCTGGGACGAACGAAACACAAGGGCTTTTCTTCCCTCCATATCCCTCTTTGAGTCACACTTTGTTTACTTATTTTCTTCCCTCTGTTTTCCCTCCCTCCCTTCTCCCCTCTGTCCCTTCTATTATTCATTAACCCCCAGATTTATTTTATTTTCACATTGTTTCAGTCATCAAGATTGAGAGCAGCTTTGGGATATAAGCTGCCTGGCTCCTTTGCTCTGTCACCTGGTCTCTATACTGTAGCAAGTCGGGCCTCTGATCTCGGCCTCTGCCACTTCACACAGAACTCCACTAGTGGCTCTTCTTCTGACGGCCCTGGGATTTCTCTGTATGTTTCTGAGATGACTCTTGGACACAGAGGAATGGCTTTGATGGAGGTGTTGTTTTGTCTCTAAGCAGACCAGACCCTGAAGGAACACAGGACAGTGACTTGGCTCACACACTCTGCAAAGGTGGAGACTTAATCTCACCGAAAACCTGTCCATTAGCAGAGCAGTGATCTCCCTCCCAAATGGAATTACAGGCATAGAGGCCAGAATGTACAAGGGACTCTGGCCAGAAGGGCCATGTTCATTGCCTACCTCTCCTGGACCGTTTGATCACATGTAGGTTTTTTTATCCAGTGGAGCAGTGCACTCATGAGCCATATGCTTTGTTTTACTCTGCTTTATGTTCATTTCCCCCCTACTTATGTAGTAGACATGTTTCAATTAAGGTGGCAGATCCTGAGCTGCTCATCAGCTTGGTGCCTCACACACTTAGTACCAGCTCACACCTCCTCCAACACCTGCCTCAGCGAAGACGCTCAGGGGCTTTAAACTCACTAGCAAATAAACCCACTGCCATCAAATTGATTCTGACACATAGTGACCCTATAGGACAGAGTGGAACTGTCCCTTTGGGTTTCAGAGGCTATAAGTTCTGAGGAGCGGCTGGTGGGTTTGAAGGACTGACTGACCTCGTGGTTAGCAGCCCATTGCATAACCAATGTAGGCCACCGGTGTTCTTTTTCAGAGACCTCTCGCCAAATCCAACCCAACCCACTGAGGTCGAGCTGATTCTCACTCACAGTGTTGCAATTCAGGTGCTATTTATATTACACACTAGTGCTCCCTCAACTGTCGAGTCCACAGCAATCCAGCCTTCTGCTCTCGTTGCAGCTGGCCAGGGTTGAAGGCTGCAGGTTAAGGCAGTAACCCAGCTCTCTCTCCCAGTCCTGCACAAACCTTCCCAAAGCCCAGTTGTACTGCCGAGAGCAGCCTTGCCCTTTCACCCCTTTACCGCTGACACCGTAGCCTCACCAAGAGATTTCATAAGCTCCCCTTGGCTCTTCCTCCTGGAGACTTGGCTAACAAAAGCTGAACATGTTCAGATACCCTTTCCTCCCTGCCCCAACTTTTGTCATGGTCTCTAGACCAGAGACGAATCCTAAAGTGCCTTTAAGCAGTGCTGATCAGAAGGGGAGCACTAGGGAAAGACAAGGTGGTTGGCTTCCTAAAAGATTAAAACCTCTCATCATCCAGTCCATTTTAACTCATAGTGACCCTACAGGACAGGACAGAACTGCCCAGCGTTCGCAAAGTTGTCACCGTGATGGAATCTGCCTGACCCATCTGTCTCTCATGGATTGGCTGGTGGATTTGAACCAGCGACCTTTTGGTTAGCAGGCAAATGCTTAACTACTTCACCAGGGATCCTCTCCCTTAGAAACCATATGGGACAGTTCTACTTCGTTTAATAGGCTCACGAACTCAAAATCAACAGCATGGCCCCTTCTGAGATGCCTTTTCAGATAGATGAATGGATAGATTTTGAATTTCTCATGTGACCCTGAGCAAGAAATTCTAGTTTTAGCAGTTCGGTTTGAGATCCAGGCAGGTTTTTTCTTTCTATCCCGTATCCCCTCTGGGTGCTTTGTAGAAATGTTGAAAGAGGTATGTGGGCACGTGGTAGAGTTAGGGCTGTGGACAGCAGCCGCCCAGCGTGCATTGGCTCTCCCCGACAACTAGCGCTAAGGGACAGAGGCCGGAGGCTAGCAGGTGCTCAGAACCCATATTTTTCCTGCTTATTAAATAAACTGCCATCGTTAATACCTGTCATTCACAACAGCAAGAACCAGATCCTGAACATTTCTCCTATCCAATCATCTACGATGTTTCATCTCACCGGGTCATTTATTACATTAAGCAAGATCTTATGCAACTTATAAAACCCGAAACTTCACTCACACCGAAAGCAGCTCGAGGAATGTCCAGGGTAGTTCTTTTGTATCAGCACCAGCATGTACTCAAAATGAAAACGCAGTTCCCCATCTGGCCTGCCCAGTTTAGATTGAACTCGTGTTTTTAACTTGGAGGTCTGGGGGAAGTAGGGATTTGTATTATTTCTAATTTTACAAATGGGGAACTTTAAAATTATTTATACATGATACCCTTAAACATGTATGCATTTAAATGTCACATAAAATTCTATTTATTGCTTTAGTCTTGTCAGCTAGGTAGAAATTATATTGGTGAACAGCAGACGTTTCATGATTACAGTAGTAGTGGAGCTTTTATAAAAAGTGTTAAGCCAATAAAGTAATTTTAAAAGTTAATAAATAATATAGTATTTGGCATTCTCTAGGCCAGGCACCTAAGCTTTTTCTGTGCTGCCTGGGAAGTCACCCTGTTCCTTGGCAGTCAACACAGCTGACACTGTGAAGCAAAGCCCTTCAGAACAGGACGAGTAGAGTGGATATATACTACAAACACACACACACACACACACACACACACACACACACACACACACACACGTCTTGCTCTCTGGAAAAGTTTGAGTCACATTTTCATGGAAACAATCAGCACGAAGTTCATCCAGTGCTAACAACTGTTAATTCTGTACGATACACAGCATGATAGGGTAGCTACCATCTTATACAATGAGAAGTGGAGGAACTGATCTTCGTAATGATCGACAGATAACCACTCCTCCACCCCTCTCCAGGGGGACGAACAAGAAACCATGGGGGAAGGGAGACAGCGGTTGGTGTAAGATAAGAAAATATTAATCCTTTATCATTTATCAAGGGGTCATGAGGGGGAGGGAGGGAAGAAAGAGGAGCTGATAGAAAAGAAGGATGGCAACGCATGTACAAATATGCTCGATACCACTGATGTATGGATTGTTGTAAGTGTTATAAGAGCCCCCAAGAAAACGATCTTTTAATTAAAAAACAAGTTGAATTGTCTGGTGAAAGAGAACGAAACAATACCATTTCATTTTTAATGCGTCTGGAAAGGAAGTATGTGTGTGGTCACCTCCAGAGGATTGGCTTCTGAAACCATGGCCAACTCCAGAAACGTAGGCTGCTACCTTGGACTTCTGTGTCAGATAACTTCTCCCTGCCAAACCATCTGCTTCCTTTTTTAGGCTGGTAGATCCTTACAATTCCAAGCCTTTGACTGGGGAAGCAGCGATAAGAACCGTTTTCATTACAACCAGGTAAAGTCTTTAGAATTAAAATGAAGCTCCTAAAAACCCCATCAAGGAAGCCAGCCAGGTGATTGGGATTCTGACCTGGCTGTGGGGGTCTTGAGGGCAGCTGAGTGGGTAGAGTGGGTTTTCCCTGAAGCAGTCCCAGAACAACGCGGGCTTCATGGCTGGTGGTGTGGGCTGACTCCTCCCTCCTTGTCCTCTCGCCTTTCCCACGTAAGAGCAGTCACTCTCCTGCGTTGCTCGTATGAACTGGGAGCACTCAGTGTGAGGCACGTGGCCCAGGGTTCTCCGTGGCTTATTTCAATTCTCACAGCATCCCTGTGGGACAGATGTGCTACTGCTGATTTAAAGATGAGCAAATGGAGGCTGAACTTCGTGTCTGTCGCTCACGTGACATCCATGAGGCGGACTGGAGAAAGACACCCGTCTAGCCACTGGGTTCTCCCATCTCTGAGGTAGACAGGGAGAGCAACGCCTCCCTCCCAGGAAAGGCCACACTGGTGACAGTGCCCATCACGTGTCACTGTTACATAGCGCCTCACTAGCGGCTCACATCATACTGCCCCTTCAGTGTGGGGCTTGGGTGTTTGCTACTGCTGTTGGCCTCACGCTGGTCACCCGAAGACTTAATGGACCTGAAGACTGAATCGACCATGGGTTTTTAGAATTTAATTTCCTCGACTCGCACAGCACGTATTCAACAGTGTTTAGGTTAAGCGTGTTTCTTGTGACCGCGAACAGCCTCAACTCCTTCTGTGGATTGTGATTGCAGAGTCACCCTCCCACCTACCATGCGAAGGAAATGCCTGTGCCAACCGCCCTCTGGAGTGGGGGCCACGACTGGCTTGCAGACCCCAGCGATGTCAGCATCTTACTGACCCAGATCCCCAACGTGGTGTACCACAAGCAGCTGCCCGAGTGGAATCACCTCGACTTCATCTGGGGCTTGGATGCCCCTTGGCGGGTGTACAAGGAAATTGTTGATCAAATGAAGAAGTCTCAGTGAAAGGCCGACTTGAGAGGAATCGTACCGTCGTCGGGTTGTTGATGGGGTGTGTGAAATATGTTTACGTAGTTCCTAGCTCGGCAGCTAGGCACCCGACTTCTAGCTAAAAGGTCGACGTCTCTCTGTAGAAGATGCATCAGGCTGTGTCTGTTTGGATTGACAGTGGAGCAGCTCTACCCTGCCCCGCAGCGAATTAGAATCCACTCGAGGGCAGGGAGCTTTTGTTGGTTTTACTAATTCCCTAAAAGTCTTCGTTCTCCTAGGCTTCTCCAATTTTTTAATCTGAGGAAATGATTGTTTTGAAGATGCCAAATTCTCTCTAGTCAGGATCTTTAAAGACCATGTTAGTTATCTGTCTTAAATTTATGTAATATAATGATGATCAATGACTACATAGTAATAAGTGTTGCTTAAATCTTGGAAAAAATCCTCATTGGCCCATTATGCCAGTTATACAGGTTCCCTAATGTTACTTACCACACCTGATTGCAATCTCGCTGTATTTAGCCAAGGCTAATGGAGTGAATTGCTCAGTCCAAGCAAATTAGTTGGAGATTTTAAAATTAGTTCCTGGAGACTTCACAAACAAATGGCCTGGCTCAAAACAAAACAAATACAGTTATGTTTTCAGTAGAATGGAGACTGTTAACTGTCTTTATTCCTGACCTCTGAACTCCGTGGCAGACCGTCTTTCCACTTGTTAGAGAAGAAAAGTCCTGGGACACAAGTATACCACTCTCTCCCCTGAAATGACTGTGCTGTCTTAACTAGCAGACCCATCTCCACGCTGGCCCTTTATGAAGCACATGCTCCGAGCCTGCCCACGGGAGATTGTCCTCATCCAATTCCGCACAGAAGACAGGATTGTGAATGCGTTCCCATGAAAACTCAGGGATTTGTTGAGTTTTTTGTAATTTTCCATACGTCGTCATTTTCTAATGCGCCTGATTTGCATCCTTCTATCAAGTCCATGTTCACATGCTCTTCTCAAACCATTGTTTCCTTTTGATACTTGTCAGATGAACAGAATGACCACTCCTTCGTTTTGATGCAATATGGTGACATATGATTACCTTAGCCGCAATCACAGTACCACATATTGGCTCATGTATGCAGACAGACTAACATGGCTTTGAAACATTGAAAGAATCATGTTTAACTTTTCAATAAAAATTCAGTAAGCCTGTAGGCTTGTGCGTATTCTTCATTATTTAATAACATTTACTTCAACTTTTCCCTTTCTCTTTTTGGCAGGACTTAAATGCTTCTCTCCCCTCCACTTCCCCCTAATTGTTCTCCCCCATACTCCTTGTAAACCTCACTAAATGCTGCCCACGAGCATTTGTTCCTTTTCTAGCAGGAGGAGAGGCGAGTACTGGCTAGACCAGTGGTTCTCAACCTGTGGGTCGCGACCCCTCTGTGGGTGGAATGACCCTTTCACAGAAGTTGCCCGATTCATAATGTAGCAAAATTACAGTTATGAAGTAGCAATGAAAATAATTTTATGGTTGGGGGGTCACCACAACATGAGGAACTGTATGAAAGGGTCATGGCATTAGGAAGGTTGAGAACCACTGGTCTAGACTAAGAAAGTGTAAGAGATGGTTTGGAAACACTGTCTTTGAAAGCTGTCTTGCAAGGACCCTATGAGTTAGGCTGTGAGTGGAGACTAGACAGTGGCTACCCCGTCTTCATGTAGCTGATACGTTCAAACAAAACCAAGGATCCAGCCTGCTCTCTCATTGTAAAAGTGCGATGGGCCATGCCGTACCGGTGGCTCCTTGCTGTCGGGTCCAACTCCTGGTGACCGTGGTGTGTCCGTAGAACTGCATGCCACAGGATTTTCAATGGCTAATTTTGGAAGTAGGTTGCCACACTTTTGTTCCGGGGCTCCTGGGGGTGGACTCAGACTGCCAACCCTTCATTAAGTACTTGAACCATTTGCACCACACAGGAAATTCTGGTCATACCATAACCAAATCCAAACAAGAAACCTCACTGCCATGGAGTCGATGCCGACTCAGAGATAGGACAGGGTAGAACTGCCCTCGTGAGTTTCTGAAGCTGTAACTAGGAGTAGAGAGTCTCTCTCCCAAGGAGTGTGACTAGTGGTTTCGAACTGCCGACCTTGCAGTCAGCAGCCCAATATGGGACCACTATGCTACCATGCAGGCCTGCATGCCATAGGGCACCACCAAACACAGGCTTGTAAACCCAGCATGATCTCTCCCACCAGTCTGTGAGCTTGAAGGTATACACTTGGGAATACCTGGAATCTTAAAAGAGCATGTGGTGGTGGTGGTGTGTGTGTGTGTGTGTAATTGTGTATGTGTCTCAGGAAAGAGATCTGGACTGCTTACATGTGTGAAGAGCTGTGGGATTTTTCACACAGCCAAATGAAGCACAGGTAACATCTGGAAGAGTTGAAGGACAGGTGAATCTATGTGATTTCACAACATTGAAAGGTGAGAAACGTGCAGGAAATGTAAAGGGCGTGCGTGTCTGCAGGAAGGGCCCCTCTCTGGTCATCTGTCCCTCAAAGAGTCCTCTTGCCTTTGACCAACCTAAAATGCCCTAGTCAACCTGGTGCATGAGTCTTAGGTAGGGTTGGAAGCAAAGGGACAACCAGGGGGTGTTTGTGCTTTTTTTCCCAGTAGAAGGGAAAGCTTACCATGAACAGGTAGGTGTCCCTGCCATAGGTGACTTGGCTTTTCCAGGTTTGGCTGCACTATGGGGATTCACATAGATGCCCATGAGAAATTATGCTCAGTAAAGGTTCCACACATCAGACGTTAGACAGGAATGAGCAGGAGCTGCATTCCGTAGATCTACCTTTTAAGGGACCCCCTCAGCCCCCAACCCCACCAGCATCTCTTCTAAGCTTCCACTGGGGACTTTTATTCAGTGTTCTGTATTAGAGTAAGTTATCACTGAGAGGGCCCCTAGCTCATGGCCCACCCAATTCACAATGGAATGAGAAGCTGCCTTGTCCTGGGTCATTCCCATGAGTAATTGCAGATCAGACCATTGGGATCTGTAGAAGTTTCACTGGCTGATTTTAGGAATCAGCTCCTCAGTCCCTTCTTTCTAGTCCATCTCGGTCTGGAAACCCCTCCTGAACCGTTGCTATAGCAGCATGCAGACTTCCACTGGTAGATGCATGATAACCACCCCGATGTGTACCGGCCACAATTGAATTTGCATCTCCTGCATGGAAGGTGTGAATCCCAGCACGGAGCTATTACTGTTCTTTAGTGCATGGCCCAGTCTAAAGGTGAGATGCTGCACCCTGGTTCTGCCACAGTAGGCTTGTTGTGTACATCCACCTGGGTGGGTGTCCTCTAGCTCAACCCAGCTGCACTAATAAACCCAACCCAACCTGCAAAGCCATCGAGTCAAGTTTGACTCACGTGGACCCTACAGGACAGGGTTGAGCTGCTTCTGTGGAATTCTGAGACTCAGTGTTTTTTGTTTTTTAATTAAAAGATCATTCTATTGGGGGCTCTTACCGCTCTTACAGCAATCCATACATCAATTGTTTCAAGCATATTTGTACATACGTTGCCACCATTATTTTCAAAATATTTGCTTTCTATTTGAGCCCTTGGGATCAGCTCCTCTAACTCTTTACAGGAGTAGAAAGTTTCATCTTTCTCTTGTGGAATGGCCGGTGGCTTTGAACTGCTGACCTTGAGGTTAGCAGTCCAACACATCATCCACCCTGCCACCAGAGCTCTTCTATCTTCATCACCAGGATGTGTTAAAGTTTCATCCCACCCCCGACTGAGAGTACAGGGCAAGGTTGGAATGAGTGTCCCAAGAACTATGAAGTCTGGGACAGGCTCTGCCTCTGTTAACTTTTGCTGCTGTAGATGCATATTCTGTTCAGAACACAATGCTCTCCATAGGCTTCTAGAGTCAGGAAAAGAATAGTACGCTTTCTGCCAAGTTAGAATTTAAAACCAACCAGCCAGTCAGCCAGCTTACCTACCTACCTACCTACCTACTGCCTACCTGTCTACCAGCCAACCAACCCACCCTGTGTGTACATGAGGAAATGAAGTCAAAGACAATTGAGAATGACTTTTTTCGCCACAAGAGGGCAGACTTGGCTTTGCTTTCAATCTTCCCTATGCTCCACCCCCAAGCCATCATCACTTTCCTTTCCATCAAAAGACTTTCTCTTGCAATGGTGGGGAAGGGTGTTGTTTGATGGGCCAGTTGGTATGCCGAGGGCGGGTAGTTGAGGGGTAGCTGTGGTTGTAGTCATGTCTACCTAGGACTGTGACTGATTCTTGCCTAATGGTAATACCTGAAAACCTTTCCCCAAAAGTAGCTGTCCCCCAAATGTGTTTATAAAATTAAAATTTTGCCTAACTCCTTAAAGGAATGGCCAGTACGATGTACAGGACGGATGGGCAGGAAGGGAGACTGGAGACGTCCTGATCCCAGACTTCAGTTGATTAAGGACCAGACATTAGCTACCGAAAACAAAGATTGCTTGGCTTGTGGGTCATAAAGGTATACATTTGTTGTAAAGTGACCCTGGTGGGGTGATGTTTAAGTATTCGACAGGTAACCCAAAAGCCAGCAGTTCAAACCAACCAGCTTCTTTCTCCACGGGAGAACAGACCGGGCAATGGCCCCCCAGTAAAGATGGCCGCCTTGAAGACCCTGCTGGGCACTTTCTCGCTCCTGGGTGGCGACTGGCTCCAAGTCCCAAATGGACTACACAGCGCCCAACAGCAACCATTTGTTAGGGGTACACATTCAGACACATTGTGTTTTTAACCTTGATACTTACTTGCCTCTGAATTAGGTGGAACCTGGGTCACCACGAAGTGCACTATGACCATATGCATTTGTTTGTTTTGTTTTGTGTATCTTATCCATTTGTAATACAGATGTATGAAAAAGATAGCTAAGCTTGCATGGAATATTTCCAACCACCAGAGACAAAGATTAGATTTATAAAGACACTGATGATAGAAGGCAATAAGATTGAAAATCAAAACAAAGATTCAACTTATGTCAGAAGTGACTTAGGGTGGGGTTGTTGCGACAGAACCCCTTCTTCATTCCGAGACTACTTTTATCTGGGAGGATTTTAAAAATGGAAGTAGCCTGTTCCCTTGTAACTCCCCAAAGGCAACATCAAGTAGTCATTACTCTTGACTTTTTCAAATAAAAAAGTTTATCTGCCGTTAACAAATTCAAAACTGTTTATGGAGAGCAGACTTGAAGTTCAATTTCAACTATGCAGCTAGAACTCTTTTCTTGGTCAAATCATCTTAGTGGTACTAGAAATAATGCTTTGATTTCTGCATTGTGCCATCTGGGCGTTAGGCTTTTCCCCCTAAGGCTGTTACTGTTGTAGTGATCACCTTGACAGAAGAAGAGAGCTCTGTTTCTCAGCAGTACAGGCAGTGATGTGCCTTTTTTCAAAAAAAAGAAAATCATTTTATTGGGGGCTCGTACAACTCTTACCACAATCCATACGTACATCCGTTGTGTCAAGCACATTTGTACACATGTTGCCATCTTCATTTTCAAAACATTTTCTTTCAACATGAGCCCTTGATATCGGCTTTTCATTTCCCACCCTCATTCCTTCAGGAACCCTTGATAATTTATAAATTATTATTTTTTCATGTTTTACACTGACTGATGTCCTCCTTCACCCACTTTTCTGTTGTTCATTCCCCTAGGAGGAGGTTATAGGTAGATCATTGTGATCGGTTCCCCCTTTCTCCCCACACCTTCCCCTTACCCTCCTGGTATGGCTACTCTCAATATTGGTCCTGAAGGGTTTATCTGTCCTGGATTCCCTGTGTTTCGAGCTCTTGTCTGTACCTGTCTACATGATCTGGTCTAGTCATATTTGTAAGGTAGAATTGGGGTTCTGATAGTGGGGGAGGGAGAGGAAGGAGCCATTAAAGAACTAGAGGAAAGTTGTATGTTTCAATGGTGCTACACTGCACCTTGACTGGCTCGTCTCCTCCCCGCACCTTTGAATGGGGATGGTTTTACATGCTGTTAATGTTTTAAAGCTGTACACGGGAGTCCTAGTGATTTCAATAGAAGTGAGACGGAGACAAATAAAAAATACAAGGAGAAAGTGCTTCAATCCAAATACACGTGTCAGTGTCTGGATCATGGGTGGCACCAAGGAAGCTCTTGGGGAACTCACCTGCCCCGGGCATTCTTCATCAGCCTCCTCTACTGCAGGCTGAGTTTGTAAAAACCTAACCAGACTCACTGCCATCATGTTGATTCCAACTCACAGCGACTCTATGGGACAGAATAGAACTGGGCCGGGGGCTTTCGGAGACTATACATCTTGACTGGAATAAAAAGCCTCATCTTTCTCTCTAGGAGTGGCTGGTGGTTGCAAACTGCGGGTGGTTTTGAACTGCTGTTTAGCAGTTCAGTGTGCAACCAACTCTGCCATCAGGGTTGCAGTTTAAGGACAGGCGCATTTCTATAAGGAATGAGAAAGACGAAAGCTCCGGGGTTGTTTTAAACACGAAATAATATTGGGGTTGGGAGCACGGGGCAGCGCTGGTATAAAAAAAAAGGTCTGAAAAAGACTAGGTGTTTAACTGGAATAAACTCAATAGTAGGGAGATCAGAGGACTGAATTGTACCCGAGTCTTTGCTACCATTTAAGTATGAGAGGAACATGTGAAAAAAAAGCACAAGAAAAATCCATCTTTTTCCCCTTTTTGCACTGCCTGCTAAGAAATTTGGAGCAACTTCCAAGTCTTTTCCTCATCAAGAGAAAATCAATATGATCACATGCGTATGACATTCTAGGGTATTTAAGAGAGAAAGCTTGCCATGGGACCAGAAGCCACTTTGTGGGGGTGAGACATTTTCAACATAGCCACAATTCTTCAGTGGCAATGTGGGAACAAGCACCAGTGGAGGAATTCTGAATGGATATATATTTCTATGTGAATGGATCCTATTTATTATTGCATATGAATAGCTTATAACATTCTTAATGACCCATTATATATTATGTGTATAATAATAGGATATGTACCGATCCCATTCCATTTTCCAGGCCTCTATTTCTGGTCTATATTTTCAATTGCCCTTACCTTTTCCCACATTAGATGTCTATCATTTATTTCTCTTTACTTGTCCTTGATCTTTATTGCAAGCTTCCTCTATTGTTCTTCAGATGCAACACGGCAAACAAAATTTAAATCCTATGTATCTTCTCATCGTGCCAGGCACGATGATTTTATTAAAAATATTTTTTTCATTTTATGTGATCATTTTTTTAATTGGTGGCAAAAATATACACAACAAAACATTCTCCAATTCAACAACGTCTACATGTAGGGTATTTTGATTTTGCTTCTATAAAATCACAGCCGTAATAAGAGTGCCTACTTTTCAGCAACGCTGGGAGGGTGGAGGGCGCATCAAAAAGCCTTCTGCGGATGAAACAGGAGTCTGCACTCACGGCCTAAGTACAACACGCCAGTTGGTGGCCTGGATTCCTGCTATTGCTCTTCCCTGTAGTGCGCTCGCAGCGTTGGTGGTCACCACCACCGCGGGGCTGTAAACGGGAGGCAGAGTTAAGACTAGACGGAGTGGTCCTTTGACGCCACAGATTTTGTCCGAAACCTGAAACCTGTCTCAGTGGGGCGCGCGCGCGTCAGCCTCCCCTTTCCATCGCGCTCCGCGCTCCCCGCGCGCAGCCAGCAGCGCCCCGGCCGGCGCTGGGGCGGCCGTGGTTCAGGGGAAGGGGGCGGAGGCCGGGCGCCCGCGGAGTCTGCGGAAGCGGCGCGGGCGGGCCAGGCGCCCTGCCGTCCGCCCTCAGCACGAATCCCATCCCCGGGAGCTGGTCCACGCCTCCGCCGGGAGCGCTCGCGGCCTGTTCGCGGGATGCTCACGGTGGGCGGCCGTGACGCCAGCCCTCGAAGGGAGCCCGCGGTCGCGGGTCTGGGCGCGCGGGGCGCTCCGCGGAGGGGGTCCTCGCCGGCCCCGGTGCGGCTCCGAGGGGCGGACCCAGCGCCTCCCAGCGGCAGGAAGGAGGAACTGGCCCCGGTCCCGGGCACCCATCTGCGGGGGCCCTTTCCGGCCCTGGCCGCCCCCGACGGGCGCGCGGGAGGGGCCAGCGGCGGCCCCGCCGGGAAATGCAGCGCTGCCGGCTTCTTCAAAAGCCAAACTCCTCACGGGGGGCGCCTTCGGGGACACACATCCAGGCCCTTAGCGGCACATTTCAAAACAACCAGACGTCACTGGGGTGCGGAGGGCGGGGGTGGGGGTGGGCGTTCCTCTCTGGGGTGGGGGTGACGGGAGGTCCCCTTCTTCTTGATCCGTGGGTCGCGTTGTGAAAACACTCATACCCCCCAAATCTGTGCACTGAGTGCTCTGTGGATGCGTCCTCTGTGACAATGAAAAAGAAGCGCAGAGGAAAAAGCAAAAAGGCAGGCTTCGGAAACGTCACCAAGTAAGTGCCAAAGCAGAGACAGGTCCCCGGCCAGCAAACTGGGCGTCGCTGTAGATGATGGATTTCGAGTGTCCCATCTGGCTCCCTCTGGACCCTCCGGCGCAGGGCTGGGAAAGGGAGGGCCGGGGGCGACTGACGCACTTGGGGGCGGGGCCCCGCGCCTCCAAAAGGGCCCGGGCGCCACCCCAGGACCCCAGGGCCCCGCAGTCGCCGGCTCGGCCTCCCTCGCCATGAACCACAGCTCGGGCCAGCTGGTGCTGCAGTTCGTCTGGGACCCCGTGAGGACCCTCACGCAGTCGGCCTTCTTCCCGGTCATCTTCGCCATCACCACGTACGTGGGCTTCTGCCTGCCCTTCGTGGCGCTGGACGCGCTGTGCCCCTGGGTGCCCGCGTTGCGGCGCTACAAGATCCACCCGGACTTCTCGCCGTCCGCCCGGCAGCTGCTGCCCTGCCTGCGGCAGACGCTGTACCAACACGCCGCGTTCGTGTTCCCCACCACCCTGCTGTACTGGCTGCGCAGCCCGGCCGCCCTGCCCGAGGATGCTCCCGGGCTGCTGGAGCTGGTGGGCCACGTCGTGCTCTGTCTGCTGCTCTTCGACGCCGAGTTCTTCGCGTGGCACCTGCTGCACCACAGGGTGCCCTGGCTCTATCGCACCTTCCACAAGTTGCACCACCAGCACTCGCCCTCCTTCGCCCTGGCCACGCAGTACATGAGTGTCTGGGAGCTCTTCTCCTTGAGCTTCTTCGACATGGTCAACCTCATGCTGCTCCAGTGCCACCCCCTCACCGCGCTGGTGTTCCACGTGGTCAACATCTGGCTGTCCGTGGAGGACCACTCAGGCTACGACTTCCCCTGGTCCACGCACAGACTGGTGCCTTTCGGGTGGTACGGGGGCGTGGTGCACCACGACCGGCATCATTCCCAGTTCACCTGCAACTTCTCGCCCTACTTCACACACTGGGACCGACTCCTGGGGACGCTGCGGTAGGCTCCTCCCACCAAGTGACTGGCACCCCCAGCCCAGCTTGAATGGGACTGCGGCGGGTGCTCCTCCGACCTAGGACTGCTGTGCAGGTCACACTTGAATCAAGAGAAACGCACCGGAGCTTTAAGAGGTCTATTTTTGAAAGCGTAACTTATTAGCTGATGGACACTGGTTTCGATAAATATCAGATGTATTATTATTTTTTGCTAGCTGATAAAGTAATTTATAGACGATGTGTATGGATGCAAATGTATTCCTGGTGTGCACTTCTGGCTCACTTCGGTAATCTTAATTCCCGGTTGTAGATTATCCAGTCCTCGCTGGCATGTTTACATCGTCTCTGAAAGGATTTGCTTGTAGATCACGGCATCTCCTTTGTTGGAAGTGTCCCCGAGCAAGGCTACGAGAACGCGAATCTGCCACAAGGGTTTGGAGCTCGGACTGGGTACACCCTGAACCATGTTCCTGCTGGAAATGTGCTGGGTGCACGACTGGAGTGCCTCCCCCTCCCCCTCTCACAGAAATGTGTATTTATAATGAAAGAAATGTTATTTGTACTTAAAAAACAAAAAAAGAATAAGAAGCAATCACTGGCTTTTGTTTGATTGGCATTTGGGCAAAAACTAAAGTGGTGGTAATGGGGAGCTGGGCGGGCATGTCTCCCCCGAGTCTGAGAGCGTAGATCAGCCGGACTGTGCACCGAAATGCATCTAGTTAGCTGCTTGTTTTGTTTGTAGGAGAGAAGGAGGTTGGAGAAGAGATCTGTTTGGTTTATTTAACACCCCCCCCCCTCCCGTTCTCAAGATTTCACTCAGGGAATCCCAGTAGGCATTTCTGGGGCAAACATGATTGTTCAGAATGTTTTCAGCTGCAACAGGCCGCAGATAGGGTAACATCGGATAACCGTTTGATTATTTGGTATGTGTGATGAATAGGGTTAGAGACACACCTTGCTCAGCAGAACAGGCACCTCGGAAGGGCTGATAGATACAACAAGGGCTTTGAGTCGGGCTGTCCTTTCAGGAAGCCAGCATTCTGAAACCAAGAAGCCAAACTCCCTGCCATCGGGTCGATTCCGACTCCAAGCCACCCTATTCACACAGGATGGAACAGCCACGGTGGGTCCCCGAGACTGATGCTCTTTATGGGAGGAAGAAACCTCGTCTTCCTCCCAGGAAGCAATTGGTGGTTTCAAACTGCTGATCTTGTAGTCAGCATTCCTACCTGTAACCACTATGCCACCTGGGTTAATGCAAATGTGCAGCCGATTCAGGGGCTCAGCAATCAGGGAGATTTGGTATATTTAATTTTGTCAATGAAAACATGAATGCAAAATCGGAGGTTACCTTCCTCAGAAAAGGTAGCAAGAGGTAGACACCTAGTGAAATTTGGTCTTGGATCCTGACTCCTCATCTTAAGGGACAATCATGTCTCTATCCTCCACAAACCTACAAGGCAAACAATAATAATACAATGGACAGGGGGATTAGACAGAGACATGTTAGGAGGTTTGTTTAAGTTTACCTTCTCATTAGGGACAAGGAGGTGACTTAAGGCAGGCTGGCTGGTCACAAAGCTCCTGCATTTAACCACCTGCTTTTCTACAAAAAGAAGCAGCTGTGTTCTTCAAAGAGCGCAGACATGTGCTCAGCTGTGATTTTACACCTGATCATTTGGTTTTATATTGTAATCATCTTTTTTTTCATAATGTGGCTTTTAAATAGTTTGTTTTTATGTGAAAAGATTTATTCTATAGACTGATATCTACAACAAATAAAGCTTTCGACCTCTTCTTCAAAGCAGAAGCACAGCTTGTAATAGAAACCAACCAAGCAACCACGCACATTCACTGCCATCGCGGTGATGATGGCTCATGGCAACCGTACAGGGCAGAGTAGGACTGTCCACTCTGGGTTTCTGAATCCACAGTGTAGTGCCGGAGAAACAGAAGTATAATGACAACTCTCATAGGGATTATTGAGCAGCCTTTGCTCATGTTTTAAACTATGGGACATGAAACACTAATGTTGAAAACAAAAGTATGTTGTAGAAAGTGAGTTAGGATTGATATCCCTAGTTATGACTGAGGGAAATGGTGGTGTGAGTAATTCAGTGGGGTGCTAACCCCAAAGTGAGTCTACCGTCTGACCACGAGCAGTGTACTCGCAAAGATGTACAGCTGGGATACCTCAGGGAGCAGTTTCCTCTGCCCTTTAGACAGAAAAGGAAGGAGTAGGAGAGCTCTACATGTAGTTCTAGATTCACGAATGATCCAAGCTCTCTTGTTTAAAAGTGAAGACTTAATCTAAACACCTAGTCTCCACAGTCGGCCAAATGAGATCATATTGGACACACGTGTAAGCCCTCCCAGTGTCCAGCGGCACACAGCTGGGCCTTCTCACCCCTTGGATGATTTTTTTCAGATGTGTGGGCTTCCTAAATGTCTGTGCTGAGGTCTCCTCCTCATCTCAGCAGCTGGGATTTAAAGGCTACATCGATTTATGATGCAAATGTGGAAACATGAAAACAGGAAGGGAGACGGAGGGAAAGTGCTGCATTGGAGCTGGTCAGGAACGGTCAGCATGCCACGTGGAGGGAGAAGGGCTGACGGTGCGTCATCCTTGTGGGCACCTCTAGTGTCAACTAGACATGACCATTGGCAGTTTAGAACAGCTGAACAGTTCTACTTATAGACCTTACTTAACTGCTAGTGTCCAAAACTTATACTCTCTTGAGACTTCATCAAAGTGGAGCCGAGCACCTTTGCTCCTACTACAAGCAACAGAAAGGATACATGACCCAGGCACAATTTTACCCCAATTCAGGACTCCGGTGGTGTAGTGGGTTATGCGTTGGGCTACTAACCACAACACCAGGTCAACTGTTCTAACCCACCAGCTGCTTCCTGGGAGAAAGAAGAGGCTTTCTCTTCTTGTAAATATTTACGGCCTCAGAAACCCCAAGGAGCAGTTCTATTCTGCCTTATAGGACCACTGGGAGTCAGAACTGACTTGATGGCCATTGGTTGGCTTGGTCAGAAGGACTCACATTAACTGAAGTCATTATTTTCCAGAACTGATTTTTTTAAAACCAAATTCCTCAAAGGTTCTAAAAGAAGAGATTTCTATCTTCAAATTGAAGTTCTTGGGATCTCCTCTTGAGATACCAGGGCTTGCTTTACTCCCAAATAAAATCTAATTTAAAATATATAGATTTATAACTTGACTCTAAAATCTGTCATTTAACATCAGGCATCCAACAACTGCTCCAGAAATCTTCAGTAATGACAATTCCTCAAAGCTATTCCTTACAGAATTAAAACACAGCAACAACAATGTCATGTTGCCTCACACTACAAGGGAGTTTTGGACTAGAGACAGATTGTACTTATGGACAGTATGTGTCTGGATTCAAAAAACTTTCTCAAAATCAGATATCAAACACTTGAGGCTTTGGAGCCTGGGAAACAGGGAGAAGAAAGGATGACCTTTTAAAAAACACAGGTTAGAAGCCTATAATAATAGCAATGACGATAATAATAGTAACAATAAGGAAATCTCCATAGTTCATATTCGTACACACATCCACACATTATTTCACTTATATCCAATGCTTTCTTCTTTTTCTTGGTTTTCCGTTCCCTGGGGATTTTTGTTACTGTTGTAGCTAATGGATTTGTTTTTGCTAAATGGCTTCGTAGAATGTGCCTCTTGCTTGGCGCTGGTGAGGTTTCTCTAAGCAAGTTCCCCCCACCCCCTAATTCTACACCTGTTTCTTCTCCCTTCTTTTGGCTCTGTTTCCCTGCAGATGGTATGTCTTTCTCCTGTGAAACAGACAGTGATTCCAAAACCCCATTACCTTTCAATTCCATTTCCCACACACTTTTTGAAGACCCTTTCTATGGGCTTAGTAGGGGCTTGGGGTGGGAGCACGGAGACTGAGGACTGAGGAAGGCATAGCTGGCAACCTGGAAACAGCAATGCTGTGATCGATCTAGTTTAAGAAGATAACTGGTGACAAAGAGTAGTGGTAATGATTCCAGTTAGGAGATGACTAGACATCCTGCCAGGACTCCAGTCCTGACCTAACACTAAGTTTGATACCTGAAGCATCTTTCAAAATGGGGTGTCTGCTTGGAGTACATGTACATAGGTACTTATCCTATGTGTAAATTATGTTAAGGAGTAAGGGAGATAAGCATTTAGGGAATCCCTTAGCACCGTGCCTTGAATTTAACAAGCGTCCTGTCATAGTAGTTCTTGTTATGAAATGTGTTATGATTAGAGATTAGGGAATCAAACAATAGATAAGGCAGAGAGGAGGAAATGAATTTCCTTTTTATTACAGAAGTAACATGGCCATGGAAAAACGCCAGATCCTGGAGGAGAGGAGAGTAAAAAGCAACCCCACCCACTGAATTCAATTCGTCAGCCTTCATTCTGTCTTAGATGCCAAACCAGAAAGTCTCTCGCTTTCTCTCCTCCCCCCGCGCCCCCCCCTCATGTCTAGCCTGCTTCCTAAGGCTGTTTTAAAGATCAAATGAGGTCAAAGGAGGGGGAGTGGTAGGATGCTGAGGAGAGGTTCAGTATGCTTGATAGCATCATGGGGCTCAGCTGTTTGAAGGGAGCAATCCCTGCCTCACACCGGATTCCTATCCTTGTCTTCCTTTCTTCTGAAAGCTCTGGATGTTACTTTCCTGCTACATCATACGAGGGTCTTGGAGGTGGACTGCCACCCTTGAGAAGGGCAGGAGGAGGTAAGGCTGGATTTAATTCGAGGAAGCTGGCCCCAGGGTAGCCCAGCTTTCAGAAGTCAGAGCAGTAGTGTGCACCAGAGACAGTATCATCTCAGAGGGCAGGGACAGTATCATCCCTGCCAGGAAAGGGTGCTTCCCTGCTAAGAACCCAACTCCCAGCCCAGAGCTTTGGTGGCTCTGTGGTCAGGTGCCACGGAGTCATTGCAACTCATAGGGACCCACTGCCGGGTCCTGGCCCTCACAATTGTTATGTTTGAGGTCATTGGTTCAGCCACGGTGTCAATCCATCTCCTTGAAAGTCTTCCCAGCCCTCCCCTCCCCACCCGGTTCTTTTCTTTTCTTGCTGATCCTCTACTTTACTTACCAAGCATTATGTTCCCCGCCGCCCCACCCCCTCCTAGGGATCGATCCCTTCCTTATAACATGTCCAAATACTCCAATACTAAGGAGTATTCTGGGTGTAGGTCCTTCAAGATAGAATCTCTCTTTCTTCTGGAAGTCCGTGGTATATTTAATATACCTCCTGTTGGGGAGGAATGTTAAATATATTTCAGAGATCTCAGTTCTTTGGATCTCCTTATTCACGTGCCTGCGAGAGCACTGAAAACACCTTGGCTTGGGTCACATGCAACGTTTGCTTTTTAATACTTTGAAGAGATCTTTCGGAGCGGATTTACCCAATACAATATGCCATTTGATTTCCTGACTACTGCTTCCAGGAGTGTTGATTGTGAATCTAAGTATTATGAGATTCTCCACAACTTCCATATTATTCCTGTT